CTCATGAAAAAATTGTATTGATCCATACATTTTTTAAAAAGTTATAGCACTTTAAAGTAAAAAATGTAAATTATAAAATCGTGGAATTTCATACAAAAATAGTATTTGGTAGCCATTTTCACTACGAAGACAAGTCTAGGGGTCAAAATTTTTTTTTTCATAATAAATTACATTACATTAGCTTTAATTTAATATATATATAAAAGTGTCAGACCTTCCGGAACATTTTCTAAAGTTATGTTGTAAAAGTAAATTTGNTAATTTAATATATATATAAAAGTGTCAGACCTTCCGGAACATTTTCTAAAGTTATGTTGTAAAAGTAAATTTGTTGTGAAAAAGTTGTCATTTTAAATCCCCCCCTGTGGGCAGGTTAAGTGTCAGATTTATAAAAAAAATATACCAAATGATAAGTAAAGACATCAAGCATCTATAAAAAAAAAAAATTATATTGATATGTTCATTTTTAAAAAAGTTACAGCAGTTTTTAGTAAAAAAAATTGAAAAAATTTCGAAAATTAGCGATTATTAAATTTGTAATTTTTTTGGAGGTTTCCCCCATTTACGGGGAACGGGGGCATTTTTTTTAATTTTTAAGGATAATGTCTTCGGCTAGATACGATTTGTGATCTTATGACGTATCGTTGAAAGAAATCCGTTCGGTGAGAGCTGAGTAAAAGAGGTAACAGACACAAAAAATAAAAAAAAAAAACACATTATATTAAAACCAATACCTTCTCAGCTTTGCATCGAAGCTAAAAAATAAGAACTCTGAATAAAAAAATAATTTTATTAAATCGATAATATTAATAATAAGTAAATAAGATAATTTAATGATTTTTTTAATTTATATTTTGCCAAAACAAAATTATTTTTATATTATTTATTATATATATTTTTTTGTAACAGTTAATGTTTTTGAGATAGACCAAAAATACTACCCTTAGGGTATCATTTACTACTCTCTTGGGGTAATCAAACAATTCTAGGGGGTGGCACTAGAATTTTAAAAGTTTATAATTAACAGCCACTTTAACTGACATTAAATAGTATCTCCCAGATATACTAAGGTAATGCTGTCATTTTTAGTAGCTAATAAATATCATAAAGAAGTTGAGAGTATTCAATTTTAATAAGATTAATTATCAATTTGGTAATTACTATAATGAAAAAAAGTATTACTTTAATCTCTCCAAGTCTTCAATTAATTTATTTTTTTAATAATTGTTGGGTATATGATTATGTCGTCAATGATAAAAGCTTTTTAGGTTAATAAAAACGAAATATTTTCACAGTTAAATTGATAGTTGACATACACAAAATTTTACATGGAGAACGTCGAGAACTGACATGATAATAATTTTTTAATTACTCTTTAAGTAAAGTTGTTTAATTACTCACGAGTGTCGATGAATAATAAATTTAATAAATTACTTAAATCAATATTAAAATACAATTGAAAAGAAATTTTTTATTGTAGGCATATTACTTCTTAAATTAATGACGATAATAATATACGGTGGATTACTTAATCCTGTCAGTAACAAATTGTGTATAAGTAACAGTGTGCAATTCTATTGTGGCTGGGCTATGTAGGTTTCATTGTGATCTCTTATACAACCATAGCTTATAAGTGGATGTAATACACTAATAATTATGATTAAAAATAATATAAATTGTTAGTATTTATTACATTAAAAATCATATAATTCTTTTTTCATTATATTATAGACAGTTTTTAACATTATTTTAAATACCTTTAATTATCCTATATAACTCTACAACATATTAACTAGAATAATTTCAATTTTATAGAACATTATTTCTCATTAAATTAAGTAGAACTTATTTAATTGTTTAATATTATTTTAAGATGTTCCTTTATCAAATAGTTCTGATTGTGAATTTTACAACCAAACAAATACTAATCAAAATCAACAGGCTTGTTGTTTTGTTAATGAAGATGTTTCACTAAAACTCATGGATGATCTTCTAATGTCTTAAAAACTTAACTAAAAACCCTTCGAAGTACTATTATTAATATAGTAGAAGATAATTATTATTTTATTGTAATAAAATAGGTTAAATATCTCTCAGTCCATCCTTATTTGTAAAAATAGGTTAGAAAATTATACCTTTATTATAAAAAAAGTTGTCAATAAGTTCTTCTGAAATTTTGAATTTTTAGTATAACAGTATATTATTTTATGAAAATATTTATTATGGCCGATCCAGTCAAATTTATATGTGGTAAAACATGTTTAACTATTAAAAATAGAATGTTTTACTTACTGAGCCTTGGAAATGTCATTCTTTTGAAAACTGCGGAAAACATATCCCTAAAAGGAAACTGTTCGTCATATATCATGAGGAATAGATTTACTTTCATATCATTCTGAACGACTAAATATCGAAGCTTAGTGTTTAATTTCAAATTAGTGATTTTACTGATTGCATGCATTAAAATTATATCTTTTCAATTTTTTCTTAATTTCAGCAATGAGTAAATGAATTTATTTATTTATTTATAAATTTAACATAATATTTTCATTCGACTTAAACGCTAGTATTATATTCTTCCTATATTCATTAATACTAGTTTCAAAAAAAATATTTCATTATTTTTCTGAATGTTCTCCCAAGAATAAGAATTAGTTTTATCTACGATATAATTTTATTTTGAGATTTAAATATAATATATACAATATATATATATAACAAATTTTTCACTGTGTTCTCGAGACGATAATTCTTCAAACGTATCTAAAGGTACTTTTTCTGGAAGGTATTTCTCCGTTTAGCTAATGAGTCAGAATATGTTTTGTTCAAACCTAAGTTGTGCCTAATTCCTTTCAATATTAATTTTAGAAAAGAAAAGATATTTTAGCCAATAATTAAACTCTTAGTAAAAAGAGACGTTTTGGAGATATAATATTTTTCTTTAAAAAAATTCTACAAAAATATTAAATAAATTTCAATTGTCTACAAACATTTTTGAAAAATTATTATGTAGCCTCAAATAATTGAAATTTAAAATAAATCCCATTCAGAGGTGTTACCCTAATTTTAAACAATTTTAAATTAAAAATACATATTGAGTAATACATATTTCTCCGGGAACCAAAGTATACCAATATGAAATGTATTCAAATTATTTAGGATAAAAAAGTTTTATTTTATTAATTAATGCACTCTAGGGTGGCCCTTATTTTTCGAATTTCGAAATTTCTTTCGAGACACCCCTCCATTTTTTTCTTTAGTATAAAAAAATAACATTCTGAAAATTTAAAATCATTTGGAAAAATTTAAATCGAGGCGCACAGCATTTTAAGGTTTTAACCTCGAATTTTCGAAGAATATTCTATAAAACGATAAAAAAAACTTAAATTAGAGGTTTTCAAGTGATTTTTTCAATAAAAGTCAAGATACAAAAAAAAAACATTGACCTTATTATAACTTAAAGTTAACATTAAAAAAAAAAAAACCCAGCACAGTGGGGTGGCGGCACAGTGGGGTCGTGGCATAGTTGGTTCCAGTATAGATTTAATCTGACAGTGATTTTAATCACTATCATAAAAAACGCTTCGATGCAAATCTGTAGATAGTGTTTAATTTTAAAATAATGGTGTATTATACCAAAAGCAAAATTAATTCCTATTTCCTTTATTATTCCTGATTAGTAGTTTTTTGATTTAGAAGTATAATATATGAATAAATATTTATTATAGCAATTAAAAATCTGTAGGTAGTGTTTAATTATTTCAAAAACAACATCAACTTCTATTTCTTTAATTACAGCCTGATTAGTAGTTCTTTGATTTCTAAGTATAATGACAGTATAATTTTTTTCGTATTTATACCTATTTTTCTGTTCTTGATTTTTTTGTGTACTACTTAAAATTTCTATTACTTCATTAAAGTATAAAACTTTACCCATTACATATATGATTTAATTCCTAAATTTTAGCCTATTGTAACGATATGAATTTATAATTTTTCATAGTTCAGCCTATTAGCGTTACCCAGGAGACACCACGAGGAGGTTGGCTGTTAAGTCTCCCAAAAATTTTTTTTAGCTTCGATATGAAGCAGAGAAGGTATTTTACTCTTATATTGTCTTGAGCTAAAAATATTTAAGTTGAATTAATACAAAATAAAAGAAGCTAAAATTTACTTAATATCGTCAACATAATTACTCAAAAGATCAAGGTAAAAATTTAAAACGTTTTATGAAAACAAAATTTATATCCATTTATCTATCAGAATTATAGATTTAAACTTTACACTTAAAATAAACTATATTGATAAAAAATGGGTTTTTTATGGAGACGACGATTTGCTGTTAATTAAAAATAAAATTTTTATAATAAATATTTTTACTTAATTATTAGTCTTGTCACATAAAATACAATAGAAATCAACATTTTTATAATCATTTAGTCTATACTGATCAGCTATACAATCAGTTACTACTCGACGACGACATGTAGTGCATGAAACCCATTCAATTCTGCTGTGATGTTCTATATACTTTTGGCAATATAAACATATGTTTTCCATGTCACCTGAATTTTCTAGCAATAAACTTTTTAATTCGTTTCTATAAGTATTAGGGTTGAACTTCTTGTCAAAATGTGATTTATTCATTATTGTGATAGCGTAGTATATTATATAAACTCCACAGTTATAAGCATCAACTTGTTTTGGTATGTTTTTGGCTTTACATTGAACCAATGATACTCGAGGGATAGGTTTTTTAGCATAAGTACAATGTTTTTTCAAAGCTCTATACAATTTTTGAAACTTTTGCTGATTGTATTTTGTATCTTTAGTAGGATTCATAGGGTCCAATATGTAACACTCTTTAAGTTGGAAATTAATTATTGCAATAATCCAATGATTCAATTTTGATAATTTTATATGCCACGGCATAATGACTACACTATTTTCTTCAAAATTATATCTAATTTTCTGTTTTTTATTTAACTCTGTACTACTTAAAATTTCCGTTACTTCATTACAGTATAAAACTCTAAATTCTGCCTGATTTTTGATAGCCTTTATAGCCAAACAAATATCAATCACAAAGTTGCTAAGAAAGTTATCATCATACAGACACATAAAATCACTTATTTCTAATGTTTGTATAGTATACATTGTGGAATCAGGTATAATATGATAATAGGTTCCACAAATAAAATTAAATAGTTTAATTTTGCTATATATTAATTTTTTAACTATATTTGTATGGTCTTCTACCTGTCTGTAGTATTTCAAATTTTTTGGTAATTTGTTATAGTAAAAATCATTTCTTAAATTATGATCTTGAGTTTCATTTAAATATAATAATGGACTTTTTTGGATTTGATAATCGTCATCAGTTATACTTAATGACCGATTGAACAAATCTTCCATTATTGCTACATCATCAGGCACCTTAAGTGCATAATCATCTTCTTCGTGTATAACTAATTGCAATATATTGTTCTTATTATCCAATAATACATTAGATCTATTTTTCTTTGATGGACTATTTAGACTGTCTAATTTTTTGACAGATGTGTTATCCTTTTTTAGAATAATTAAATACGCCCCTTTTCCATTATTTGGCCATCTTTTTTCAGACACATTTTTATCATCACAACATATCCATCTAGACTTTTCTTTTAAATATACGATGTAATGTCCAGATTTAGTGTCATTGCCTATATGAAATATTGTAACTGACGGTGTATAAATAGAATCTTCTATTGTAAATCGAGATTTGGACAAATTTTTTAATTTTAGATCTGTTGTTTTACTAATTATATATTGACCATTTATCCAACTAGAATTGAATAATGACAACTGTAATATCAAATAATCATTTGCTTTTATTATTTCATGTCGTCTTTTGAAACCACCTGTTTTATTACAGTTTTGACAAGAATAATCATCAATGGATGTCCATTTTTTTTTATTAAATTCAAGTAGACTTTCTAGTTCTATACTGTGGTTTCGATTAGAAGGTAATTCTAAACGTTTCACAAGATTGCGTTCCTCTGAACTACAAGTTTTTTTTTTACAATAATCGCAGTAGTTTATACAACTTTCAGTAAAACTAAATAAGGTATCACTTACACTACGGTTACAGTTCATTAAAGCTTCCATAAATTCTACACAATCCTGTTGTTCCTTCCTAGTAAAAATCGTGTTGTTTAAAGTGTCATCCACGTATTTTCTTATTTCAAACGTATCAGTCACTTCATTTTTTTCATAACCAATAAGCTGTTGTTTCAATATTTCTCCAGCTTGGCCTTTATGAATAGTACTTACAAACGTATCACAATGATATAAAGCTTGAATAACAGAGTTGGAATAACATGATACATTATCTATATTAGCAAAGCCAATGATTTGACGAGAAATTTTTACTATATCTACGTTTATTTTATTTTTCAAAATACTTTTTTGTACGATTAATGCATCATTGTCATCGATGATACTCATCGAACGATTAAAAATATCTTCAATCATTTCTACGTCATCTCCAGGCACGATAAGAGCGTCATCTCTATCTCTGTGTACAACTGATTGCAATACAATATCAATGTTTTTATCTAAATCCTCTGAAAGTCGTAATTTTTCTTTTAGTGGTGGTACATAATGATTATCAATCCTTTCATCGCTATTAGATCGGGAAGAAAGTTGTATTTCTTTGTTCACTAAAACCAAAGGTCTATGGTCACTCACTAAACTTTCATAAACAATTACATTAAAATCAGTGTTGGTTATGACATTGTCAATACAAGTACCATAGTCTGTTGTAATTTCATTGACAAGTATTTTATACTTCATTTCTTCTATAATTTTATTAAAAATATTTGGAATTTTATAGAAATTTATATTGAAATCCCCAATAAAAATTATGTTTTCTCCATTAATATCAATTATATTTTTTAAGCATTCACACATTTTGTTTGTAGGAAATTTAGGCGAAACATATAATCCGACATATGTGTAATTATCAAGGATAACACAAATAATTTCCATGTGTTCTTTGTTATGAGTAATAACTAAGGGTTCACTTGACTTGAAAATATCACGTATATTATTATTTAGGAAACATATTGAACCACTTTTGCCATTGTCATGCACTTTGTTGATCCTACATATCTCTGTGAATCCTTCAATGTTATAAAAATCATTTTCTGTTGTTCCAGTTTCTTGGAAAAATAGTATATTTGATTTTAATAATATTTTATCAGCAAGTATGTGTTCGAAATATTTGTTTAGTGATCTTATATTGTGTGAAACACAATATATCGACAGATTGTCTGATGTTAAAAATGAAAATTTAGGTTTTATTTCACAAGACCGTAGTCTAGCCATTTCAGCATTGACTTTTGAAGATGGTTTAGGTGGATTAAATGGAAAATAGTCTATACATAAGCCCTTGGCTGATGTTGCTCTACTGCATCCTACATAAAGCATATTACACAGTAAATACTTTTTAGGCACATGGTATGCAACATTTTCATATGTTGCACCTTGTGATTTATGAACAGTCAATGCTAATGCCTCAACTAAAGGTAATTGCGTTCTAGTTACCTTCCGGTTCTCTGAATTTCCAATTTGAAATTCCAAGTGCGTAATTTCAATAGGTGTCCAGTGAGACCAGTCGTCGGATACTTCTCCTTGAGGGGACAACTTTCCTTTAACTTTTTGTCTTGTAATTGAGCCTACTTCTGGTTCATCAAATTTTATCCACACTCTATGAGCAACTTCTTTACCACTAGTAGTTATTGTACGGTTGATTTGCATCAGTTCACCAATAGCGCCATTAACAATTCCGTCTTCTGTACAGATATTTGTAACAATCATGTATTTCGCTGTTACCTTCAGTATAAGTGTTTTAGGCAATCCCATAGTTTTTTGCCTTGGAAGTTTCTTTGCAGCAGTAATATCAACTTTTTTCCCTGTTGTATCTATTGCTTCAGATACAAAACTAGTAGTATTTAAACTGTTTAATACTCTCGTATTCATATCGTCCACCTCTTTATTTGTTGCCCATAGATGCATAACTCCAGGTTGAAAACTAATTTCCAACGGTTTTACGAGTTTCATAAAAAATTCTATATCTTTTTTAATTAATTCTCCCCTTGCTAATTTAGTTAATACTTCAGCAAATTCTTTATCATCTCTTTGTCTCATAATTTCTCGTAATTCATAAAACTGAAAAGTTTCCCATATCGCTTTTGTCGCTATTAATTCTATTGCTGTTGGATATTTTGCAATTATTTGATCAAAATATTCGTACAGTGGAGTAGATAAAACTGGTGGTAATTGGTAAAAATCACCAAAAACAATAACATTTATATTACCAAATGGTTTGTCAATACGTAGAACATGCCTAAGTCTTTGATCAATATAACTAAGAGTCTTTAAGCCCACCATAGAAATTTCATCAATTATTAAAAGTTTGACATTTGCCAAATGACACCGAAGAGTATTTGATATGTCAGCGCCAAGTTTTGGTAATATTCCAGAAAATTGATTAATTGGCAATTTAAATGCCGCATGAAGTGTTAAACCTCTTATACCAAATGCTGCTTTTCCTGTAGGTGCAGTAAGTAGTACAGGAGTGAGTGACAAATCATCTATATCTGGCCTAAGATTAGCTATTCGAATTGTGGATTGAGCTAAAGCCCGTATAAGTACAGATTTACCAGACCCAGCTGGGCCGGTCACAAAACATCGAAAACTAGATGCGCCTGAACCCCATATTTGCTGTCTCAGTACATTAGTAGTATGATAGAGAAACATGCGTTGACCTTCATTCATACATTTAACTAAATTTATAAAATGTTCGTTATCAATTTTATGCACGTTAAACATTCCATCAATATCATTATTTTTATCTTGATCGTCATCATTGCCATTGTCATTAAAATCCCCTGCATCTAACACTATCTCATCATGAGGGACCCAGTCCTGCGGTAATTCTTCCTGGTTGTTATCTTGCTGCTTTTCAACATTATTTATATCTTCTTCTAATTCTTCTTCATCGATTTTATTAAATTGTCGATAAACTTGCTCAATTTGTTGAATATTTTTTTCATAAACTTCTTGACAGTTTATATTTTCTATATCACTATGTTCATTTCGCCATGGCATAAACAACATAACCCTTTCCCTGTAAAAGTCAGCAGGACTTTTATCAATACTAAATCTCACGTATCGAATGATTTTTCGAATCTTACGTTTGTGCAAAAACTTGTTAGGTTTTCCAATGAGAGAATTATTTTCTTCAAAAACATCATCATTAACTTCATCGTCATCCGTTGTATCATCATATTCTGAATCTGATAACTTTTTAGATAATTTATGTTTACTTTTAATTTCAAAGTCAGCTGCGAATTCAGCCAGAGTCAATTTTTCATAATGAACTGGTCTACACGAATAGTATTCTATCAGACCATCACAAAATATGTTAGTTGACTCAGGATTCATTTGGCCTCGAAGGGCATTAGGTTTAACCATGCGAGTTCTTTTATCAGAATGGCTTGTATTTATAAATACGTGCCCAGTAGATGTA